GCGCTGTGCGGCCGCCTCCCACCGGCTTCTCTGTCCTCGCCTCCCTCCGGTGCGCTATCCAGGGCTGCTTGCAGGGCCCCTGTGCTAGCTGAAGGAAGCAGGAGCTGTTGCTGAGTTCTTGGTGCGGGTGGAGCTCAGCTTTTGCATTTTTTGCCCTGTTCTTGCCATTTTCTTGGAGCGACTCTGGCAAGTATGGGTTTCTTGTTGGATGGTGGTGTTCGTCCTTGCAAATGCACTTACCTGCTGTCATGAGCACGACACTGTCCTGTTGGAGTGTCGGCTCATATTGCATGTGATTAGTTGTTTCTGCTAACTGATATAACGCTATTAAGTGTGCTCCCTCTGAAGTGACCTATTCCAAACCTAGCTTAGATTTGTATGGCAGAAGTAGTATTTACTTGCACTTGACTAGCTGAGCTTTGATAAAGACCTGTCAAATACACTTGGATGTTACCGATTAACGTAGATAGCAGTAACAGTGCTTTAATATGTCTTTTCCTATTGGATGATACATGGGTAAGAGGTATTTTTATGAAGCTGGGAAACCATAGTATCAGCAATCTCCTTATCCAGAAGCTTTCTCATATTCATACAATAGGCTGGCTTTTTTATTCCATGTTGCAAATTACAGGGAAGTTATTAAATGATTTCTTGCTTGTATTTGAAATTTCTTAATTTCCTTATGTTTTCTGGCATTTTGCAAAATGCAATATACAATACTGCTTTTCTATATCTCTTTCAGAAAAAGTCCCTAGAGTCCATAAACTCTAGGCTTCAGCTGGTTATGAAAAGTGGTAAATATGTGCTAGGATACAAGCAGACTCTGAAAATGATTCGGCAGGGCAAAGCCAAATTGGTCATCCTAGCCAACAACTGTCCTGCTTTGAGGTAAGCAGATGTATGAAAAAACAATTCTCTTCCAAGACAGGTTTGTTGTACAAAGTAGACAGTGTACTTCATGTTTATTGCTACAGTGAATTATTACTGCAGAATACTTTGGCATATTCCAGAGTGCTATGAAATAGAAGTGATGGGTTGTTTGGTGTGTAATGACTTCAGGTCTGGATGTGTTGAAATGCTTCCCAACATTTTTCTAGTGTTCTAACTCAAAGAGTTCACACTAAGGAAGATACTGTAAGCTTTCTGCGCTGTGGTAGCTTTTATTAAAAGTATGGAGCTGAATCTTTGTGTTTTTTCAAAGTAATATACTGGAAAATAATTTTACAGGTAGGAAAACTGGTAGTTGACACTGATTTAAAATACTTGAAGCACATAAAATTTGCTGTCCAAGTAAGGTATAAGTTTAGAATCCTCACCAGGAAATTGCTTTTTTGAGAATGAAATCTTTACTGAAATTTCCTAACGTTTTCTTTGTTGAATTTCTGGTCCCTTTTTGTCTTCAAGTAATATTGACAGATTTGGGAAACTATAAATGCAGAAAACCAAAATCAGATGCTTGAGGAATGGCAGGATTGTTACAGTAGGCACATGTTAGTGGGGATCCCAAAAGTGCTTGAGAAACAATATTGGCCATTATAATCTCACGGTGGAAGTCAGAAGAGAAGGGAATATAATTTGACTCCTTTTTCAAAAAATTTAAGAAAAATACACTTTTTTTTTTTTCCCCACAGCTAGTGGCAGTCAGAACTCTGTTCAGCATCTGGCCACGGGGTATCAGCATTAATAAGGGTCATTGATTATGCACTTTGGCTTAGCTCCAACAACCTTTTGGAAGTTTGAAAGTCCTGAATCCCCTTCTTTCATGTAGAAATGAGCATGTGTAGGAGCAACCTTGCGGATTTGCACTCCAAAAGTGGCTTTGCTGTTTACCTCCAGAATACTTCTGGGTAAGGGTTCCTGAGCCACAACACAGTAGTGATGTTGTTTGGCAAGGAACGGATGTGTTTTTCTGGGTGGGAAGGAAAACTCTGTAAGGTGTGTGATTGGAGTTAAAGCTGCTCTTGCTGTATTACAATCAGAATTGTTGGTCAGCCCTGTAACACCTAGTTTTTGAATTCCAGAAAATCAGAGATCGAGTACTACGCTATGCTGGCCAAGACTGGTGTCCATCATTATAGCGGCAACAACATTGAATTGGGCACAGCATGCGGAAAATACTACAGAGTGTGCACACTGGCTATCATTGACCCAGGTATGTCTCTCTTGCAGGGTAGTGACCAAATGGGTATGTATCAGTGCTTCCTCCATTTACCTGCGAGTAGCAGCACTGAGCAAGTACCGTGCACGGGTGATGACATACTTTGCTGTCCTTTTCTGTTGGGTTTAATTATAATTTCCTCTGACCAAGAACCTGTTCTTCTTTTGCGAGTCCTAGGTTCTTAGAACCTGGAATTACTGCTGCTTATGTTTGCACATAGGTCCCATCACTGCTAAACCCTGTGAGCGTGCATTTTGTCTACCTGTTGGTCTGTATTGCGGTTTCAGTGGCTGAGAAGCAACTTTATGGTACATGTTTCTGAGCCCATCAGCTAGAATATGAGCTGGTGCAACATGCTGTGTGCATCAGCCTCGTTTGACTGTTCTTAATCTCAGACAGAGGATTGTGAGTTGTCCTGCTTCCCAGAATGATATATACAAAAATAATCTACATGCAGGTGGATACTAATCCAGGGTTGAAAATTATATTAAACATTTTAAAACTGTAAATCTGCACATAATTACTGTTGTTTGGTAGGACTCTGTCACAGAGAGTTGCTCAAGTTCCTCGTATAGACTGCTATTAGCTGACTTCTCTTAGATTTTGCAAAGAGGATGAGAAGAATCAGTCTTTTATTCTGTTTGTTGACCAAAATACATACATATGGATTTAATGATCTCTAGAATAACTTTCACCAAATGTTCCCCAGGTGACATTGGTTTCAATTTGCTGTTTCTTCAGAAAACGTTATTTAGCTTGCCTGTATTCAGAAACTAGCTGTAAACTTAATTTTCAAAATGTTACTTATAGGTTTGATTTTGGGGCGGGGGACGGGGGGGGAGGTTAACTGTATCTTATCGCTGTGTAACATGATGCGAATATTCTCGCTGTCCTGATATTTTTGTGATCAGGGGAGGCTAGACATTCGCTATATTAAAACTATGCATTGTGTCCTCCAGGACTAGATTGTTGCTCTAGTACTGGCTTTGTAAATGCTAGTGACAGGTACACAGTTATTGTAAAAATACTGTGTATGGATTAACAGAATACAGTTACAAGTTTTTTTTTTTAATCAAGACATGAAAATTACTTGCTTTTTTCTTAAACTGTATTGCTTTTGTTTTCTATTTGTAGAATCAGTGTGTTGTTTGGTTTTGTGTTGTGGGTTTTTTTTTTTTTTAACTTTTTGGCTTATTCCTGAAAACAAATCTTTCTGTGGGTCCTCTTGTAACAGTATATTTTTGTTTTACAGGTGACTCTGACATCATTAGAAGCATGCCAGAACAAACCAGTGAGAAGTAAATGCTGTAAAGGTGTTCTTTCTACAATAAAACTGGTTACAGATCTGTTCTAAGAAGAATTTGTATTATACCTTTGCTGGTTTCAGGGAACAAACTATATAAATGAAGATTCGTTATCACTGCTGTGCTACCTGTTCTGTTAGAAATAACCTTCACATGACAAAACTTGCCTATTTCTTTCTCTAGAAGTTGTGGCTCTTGAGAGGTAGGTGGAATAAGACTTGGTCATGGCAAGTATGGTGCCAAATCCCAACAGGCTAGGGCTTCCTTCATATTTGGTTTTGGAATGCTAATGCAAAAGCAAGTTGTAAGGTGAGGTACAGTAGCAAGTTTGGGATGATGGTAGGGGACCTCAAAGGGTTCACTTGCATGAAAAAAATTCACACTGTTTTTACCAAATCAATTACAAAGTACTAATGCAAATTATCCCCTTTGTCCTTTCATTACAAGAAAATATATATTCGTCAAGTGGCAAATAGGGTAGCTGCTAGACATGATATATAATATATTTTCAATAAGATACCAACTAACTTCTGAAAGCTGACTTTAAATTAGTCTTTTTTTAGTTTTTTGAAGATGTTATATTAAGAGACAGATGAGTTGTTCTCCAGTCACTATTGCCAAAGATACTGGTATGTTACAGATTTCTGCCTGTTTTGTGCGAGACCAGGACTGCAGGAGGTTCCTTATCACTTGTGATTATTAACCGAGGTGCTAGTGCTTTGCTGACAAGCGATAAACACCTAATGAAAATCAGTGTACACTGGTATCCTTGCAGAACTTCCATTCTGTTTGCCAAAGCACAAGGTACCTTTTAAAGCTTGCTGTTACCATGAGCCATGCATGCTCATGGGCTTATCTGAGATCACTTAATCTCGTTTTGCCACAGCTACTTCTGCTTCTGGTATAAAATGGATGAACGTGTCTATTTCTATTTGGTGATAGTAAACCAGTGTGTGTCAAAGAAAGGAGGAAGTGCTGATGTCTCTACCTACTAAACCACAGATTTGAATCAGAGATTCAAAGAGATAATCTCTCATAATCAAGAGGTAATTTAGGTACTGCTCTTGCTGTGAAAGTAAAGCTAGCAGAAGAGTGCTGTTGCTGCCAAGGGGAAGGAGTAAAACTTCAAGGCACTTCAGTTGGCCAGAATGGCTGGAAGCAATTTGCTGTTCTCATTGGTGTCTTACTGTTTGACAAACAGGTGTGCAGCTAGTTGTATTGCCCAAAGAATGGTTTTTTAATTGAAATACCTGTTGCATTCAGGGGGAAGTTTGGGAATTGCTGAGTGCTGACCGAGGAACAGTAGGGAGAGGTTACGTGGTCTTTAACCTCTGTGGCAAGAGAAGTAGTATGTGAAACTTCAGATTGTGATACCCTTGTAATCCAGCAGATTTCCCACTTTGCTGATTTACTTTCAACACAAATGTATAAATTTCTGGTTTTAATTCTTCCAGCGGGAGTACTGAAATCAGTTGGAATGTAAGTGAAACCTAATTGCTGTGATTGCTGTCCCATTTGTTCTGTTTTTATATATGTATGCATATATAGCACTATATATATCCACACAGATGGGAGTGCTTAAAATACTAGCAGAGTGAGCAAGCCAAATAAATTCATACCCTAAAAGTACTTCAAAACATGGAGGTTTCACTTCAAAAAAATAACAGCATTTTATTATTTTGCATAGCTTATTTCAGTCGTTTAGTTCTGCTTAATTAGAACTTTTGCTAGTTACTAAATCATTTCTATATATAAATTTTCAGTATTTCTTTTCTGCAATCAATGCAAGACAGATGCAGGGATCCAAAATACTCTTTTCAACTTCAGACACAGGCTTTGTTATTTTACTTTGAATCAGTTCAAGAAAATAGCTCTGGCAAGTTTGTATGTATAAATATACAGTGTAGTGTACACTTCAGATTTTGATCAGTATTTTAGCCTGTTTTCCAAGTCTTCCATTCTCTTCGTCATTTCTTCCAGTAGACAAAAGTTAAGGAAAGCAAGCTACTGATGGCAGGCATTAACAGAAAAACAGTGTCAGCTGCCTGATTGCTGTGGTCCATAGACTTGCTCTTTTCTCCTCTTTGTTATCCTGTTTGATTCCCAGTAGTTTCTGATACAATACTTCCCTGTATCTTCTTATTCTGCTTTGATAGCTGAGTTGAGAAAGCTGTGTGAAGCCCCATTCATTAACAGGCATACCTCAACATGGAGTTCAGGTTCCAGCTTATTAAAAAGGCTGCTGGTTCTTAACAAATGGCCATTTTCCTCTATTTCAAAGGGAAGCTAAATATTTATCCTAGTTAATGCTGCTTAAAAAATGTTTCACTTAATCACATGGAAAACTACACGTAAGCTAACAGTAGATTGTAAAACCATATGCAGTCCCATGACTGCAGTACGAATGTCTGCTGCTGATGTTACATTCCTCCCCTGTGGTGGTGTAGTGTAGGGTGCTGTTTTTACAAAGCCAGTGGTTTCCAGACAGATGTGGAATAGAGCACAACAAGCTCCATGGGATCTAGGGCTGGCTTCACTGAAAGTAAGAAGCTGTGGCAAGGCAAAGCAGTGGGCAGCATCACTTTCCTGGTGAGCACCTCCAGCTGACAGCAGTGCTGTGTCTGCTGCAGGCAAAGGCTGGATGGGTACCGTTTACCTGACCATCTCTCTCCAAGAGCCATGGTAAGGCTGGACCCAAGAGGAAGAGGGGACGTAGCACCAAGAGAGAACTGAAGGCATTGAGGCCCACCTTAAAAGGACCAAGTAGCTGCACCCACCTCTTTGCTTGGGTGTCTAGTGTCTTGAAGGGAAAAGGGAAAACTGAGCATATAAGTGGGATCTTTGACAAGGGGCTGTTAGAAATTGGTTAGAGTGGACAGGCAAATTGAATTATCCAGTATATATATAGCAAACTAGTGTATCACTCAGTATGTGAGCTGCCCTTCAGATAAGGCAGAGAAATGAGGTTTGTAATGGAGGGGAAACTTGATAGTTCTTTATTCAAAGCGGTGGTTGCACAGTGCTCTGGGAAAGAGCTTGGCAGTGTTACTATCAAAATACATAGGTCTCTGCCTCGGTGTCAGCAACTTTTCCTTCAGCTTGAATCCTCAGACTCTCAAAATCATAGGGTTGCCTGCTCAAAGTGTAAAGCAAAGCATGTGTTGCTAAGCTCTGTTTCTTTGATTCTGAGTAAGCTCAGAGTTCCTCATAGCCCAGCTGCAGGAGATTACAGTAAAGAGGCTATGGCTTTTGCTGAAGGGGGAGGAGTGGTCTCCTTTCTGGTCAGCATCTAGGCTGGAACTATGTATGTGTCTGGATAATGCTCTTAAGGATGTGGGAAATGATCTAGAGATTTTTCTCTGAATTGATTTGGAGACTTTAGAGAAGTCCCTTCAGAGAAGTATAAATGTTGATGAGTATTTGAAGCACCCACCTTATGCGATAGCTCTCTGTAATTCTACTTTGCATGGAATAATTTAGAATGTGATTCCTTGAGCTACATGCTGAAGGATTCACTTAGGAAGGTAAGGGAGAGATAGTAAGGCTGACTGCTGCAGTTAGTTAGACAAAACAGGTGGAGGTAGGGTCTGAACCGGTAGGCAGTGTTTTCCAGCAGGTTAACAGAGCCCTCTGTGGTCTTGCCTGCTGCCACGACCACTGAGGGCTCTATTAGCCTGACTGGATAGACTTACCTCCACAAGTTCCTCAGTCTAAGCTGTTGTCTAGGAAGCACACAGTTATGAGCTGTTGGTATCACTGCAATCTTCTGTGCAGAATGTGAGTGCTTATTCATCTTGCACACGGTTACAAAACTTAGGTAGAAGAGGTGATGTCATTTTACTATTTATTTGATTAGGCAGAAGTAGTTTTCATGAAGAGGAAGTGGGAATTTGCTGCGTAAGTACTGCATGATGCAAAATGTTGGAGAAAGTTGTATTGCCAATTTGCTGCTGTTGTCTCCTGAGACATCTGGTGTATAATACAGATACTGAAAAGGCTGCTGTACAAAAGCTCCCTTGAAAAGACAGACTAACTTGGCAGGGGTGGGAAAAAGCTATCGATCTGCACTTAACTAATTTTTATCTGCATGTTTATGCAAAGTTAATCACACCTCTGTCCTCTGAATTTCTCTTCATTTGGAATATTAAATGACTCACTGCATTTGGTGCTTCACGAAGCAGTTAGCAGGGAAATATCTCCTGCATTCCTGCATCTGTAGCCAGTAAATGCTATTTTGATACCATCTGAAGAAATACCCAAAAGCATTAGTCTTGAATTTGACCAGTCATTTTCTTTGCTGTCCCTGAAGGTATTTATTGTTAGTTATTAAAGATCCTTATTAATATTTTGGTCCCTTCTATAAAGGAGAGGCAGATTTCAAGTCTTAAAAGCTTTGCTTCTTGGAGATTATCTATTAAGTAGTTTAGCTTTTCTTTACAGTAGATTGATTTGAGCTATGGAGACAGCTTGGGCTTGATGTGTTGTAGTTTCTTTTAACCTGCCCTCCTTGTCTTATATGTAAGAAGCAATTATTCTGAAAGGATATATCGCTGGGTGAGTTTTCTTACTTCATTGGTTGCATAGTTCTGGAATGTTACAAGGTTTTCACATTTGCACTGGTCTTTATCTTTTGAAGCTTTTGCTGAAAAACAGAAACAGTCAAGGTTAGGCTAAATGCTGAATAAGTCAAGTGGGATGGGTGAGGAAATGACAAGGACTTGTAAATGCAGAGCAGGTTTAATACAGCTTCCTGTTCTCAAAACAGGTCAACATCCAAAGGAATGCTCTGGGGCAGATTAGGTAAATACTGGAAAAGGGTACACAACACTTGGGTCTTTAGAATAATCCAGACTGCTCTTTGAATATAAACAAAGGTAACCTGATTACCTGCTGTTCTTGTTGAGTGAGTGTGACTGTCTTCAAAAAGATACTTGTGGTGTATTGCAAGATTGGGACAGGCAATGACATCTGTGATGGCTATTGTGGTTGATTCAGGTCCTGCAGGAAACCCCCCAAAAGTCTAAAAATCAAACCCACTTCACTTTAATGATACAGTATTTTTTTTTCTACTCGCATGCACCAAGTTCTCCTTAATTAGTGAGTAATCTCATTGATTGCAGTGAGGATCATTCATGGAGAGGACTAGGGATACAAAGATGTGAAGGAACCAAGCTGCTAGTTGTATTTACTGTATACATGATTTAAGTTGTGGGTTGCAGAACTGAAAGGGAGTTGTGAAGGTTCGTGTGAGAAACAGAAGTGATTGAAGGCTGAACATGCTTTAAAATATCAAGCACAGTGTTGAAATACAAGCTTCCCCATGAAGTAATTAATTTGGATGGTGTAAGAAGCATGCAGCCAAGCATTTGTTACAGTGAATCTCAAATTTTTTGTACAAAGCAGAGCTGAATTGCAGAAAGGAGGGTGGCAGCAAGGGGAGTAGGGTGAACAATTCTCTCACAGGTGACTTGTTAGGGTTCTCTACAGAAGGCGGCATAAAGAGGCAACTTAACAATGATCAGGGGAGATAGCAGGACACCAAGTTAAAACAGCCAACCTGAAGGCTGTGGACCGGTCTTATGAAGCCTCTTGGATGATGGATCCTGCTGGTGAGCTGACTCTCTCAAAGCTGGTAGAAGGAAATTGCCAAAGGAAATGAGATCACAAAAGGAGCAATAAAAATGTTCACATTCCCTAGAAACGGGGATGTTTCTTACCAGTAACTGTGTTTGTGTCTCATAACACATGGAGAATGCCTCATACCTGTGCAGTGTAGAAGAGGTCCAGTGTTGATGGAAACTCCAGGACTTGCTGTTCAATGGAGGCTATCAGAGGAACTAGACTCGGAGGGGGATAGTGGACTGTGAGATGGATTGAGAACTGTCTAAGCAACAGCTCAAAGGGTTGTGGTCAGCGGTACAGAGTCCAGTTGGAGGCCTGTAGCTAGTGGTGTTCCCCAGGGATCAGTACTGGATCTGGTTTTGTTCAACATCTTCATCAGTGAACTAAATGAAGGGTTGGAATGTACCCTCAGTAAGTTTGCTGACAATACAAAAATGGGAGGAGTGGCTGATACACCAGGAGGCTGTGCTGCCATTCAGCGGGACCTGGACAGACTGGAGAGTTGTGTGGAGGGGAACCTCATGAAATTTAACAGGACAAGTATAGAGTTCTGCACCTGGGGAGGAACAACCCCATGCACCAGTACAGATTAGGGGTTGACCTGCTGGAAAGCAGCTCCATGGAGAAGGACCTTGGAGTCCTGATAGACAAGAAGTTATCCTTGGGATAACAAGGTGCCCTGCTGGCCAAGAGGGCCAATGGTATCCTGGGTGCATTAAGAAGAGTGTGACCAGCAGGTCGAGAGAGGTTATCCTCCCCATCTACTCTGCGCTGGTGAGGCCTTATCTGGAGTTTTGTGTCCAGTTCTGGGCTCCACAGGTCAAGAGAGACGGGGAACTTGTGGAGAGAGTCCAGTGCAGGGCTACGAGGATGATTAAGGGACTGGAACATCTCTCATATGAGGAAAGGCTGAGAGACCTGGGGCTGTTTAATCTGGAGAAGAGAAGACTGAGAGGGGACCTTATCAATGTCTATGAATATCTGAAGGGTGGCTGTCAGGAGGATGGAGCCAGTCTCTCTTCAGTAGTGCCCAGTGATAGGACATGGGGCAATGGGCATAAACTGCAGCACAGGAAGTGCAAGAGCTCTCAATCCCCAGGTGTAAGAAATCAGGAAAGGAAGGCAAGAGGCCGGCATGGCTGAGTCAAGACCTACTGGTCAAACTAAAGGGCAAGAAGGAAATGCACAGGCAGTGGAAGCAGGGACAGGTATCCTGGGATGAGTACAGGGAAGCTGCCTGGTTGTGTAGGGATGACATCAGGAGGGCCAAGGTGTGGCTGGAGCTCAACTTGGCAAGGGATGCAAAGAATAACATGAAGGGCTTCTACAGGTATGTCATCCAGAAACGGAAGGTCAAAGAAAGCATAACCCCCTGATGAGCAAAGACTTGCAGACTGGTAACAACAGACAAGGAGAAGGCTGAGGTACTCAGTGACTTCTTTGCCTCACTCTTCACTGGCAGTCTCTCTTCCCACACCTCTCGAGGAGATGGACTGCAAGATGGGGACTGGAGGAGCAAAGTTCCTCCCACTGTAAGAGAAGATCAGATTCAAGACCACCTGAGGAACCTGAACATGCACA